CGCAGCCGTCGACGCGGGATTTGGGGCCGTGAGCTCGTCAGCCCGTTCTGCCGTAAGCCCTTGAGCGACGCGACTTCCGCAACGCTTCGACGGACACGTGAGGGACAGTTTGCTCCACACCACGCGTCACGGACACATGCACAACATTTTGTTCGGAGCCGTGACACACGCTCCCCACGGGCCCGGCTCCAGAGTGACAAGCACCAGCCTGCGAGTTCGCCCACGAGCGCTGAAAAGAAGCCAGCCTGCAAAAAGGCATGGATTTTTCTTTTTTTCCTCAGAACGCTTTCACAGAGCTGAAACCTGTGAAAACCAATCCGGGAACGCATGCAGATCAACCCCGCTCGCTGATTCTCAGCTTAACTAGTGACAGTCTATTAAAGCTTGAGAGCCACTTGCTTTTCAGGGCGTTAAAAAAAAAAAGGAAAGGAAAGGAAAAAAAGAAAGGAAAAGAATCTTAGTATTGGTTTCAGCTGGCAAATTGCAGCTTCCTGAGCCTGTCGTTAGATTGCCATGATAATCATCCAGCGCCTGCGTGCGCACGGGGGTAATTTGCCATTCTAAGACCTGCCTGTTCCACTTGGAAACTGCGAGGGACTCGTTAAAAACATAATAGGCAGGGAAAGGGAACTGTAAAGGCGGCCCTCTTTTGTCGAGTGGCATGCTTGATGGAAAGGGCTGCGGGGAGGGTTGAGGACTCCTTAAGAGGTCCAAGTATAGAAGCGGTATACGAGCGCACACCTGGGGCCTTTGTGGAGCCAGTGTGGCTTCGCTTCGTAGTTTCTGCCCCCTCCAACTCTGACTCAGCCGCCGTGCGCGCCCGCGGCAGAAACGACGAGCGGAGGCAGCGGAAACGCAGTGCGGATGGTGAGGCCGCGCCGGCCGACGGAGACTTCTTCTGCTTTATCAACCGGCTGACAGGTGCTTAAGGAGTCCCTTTTTAAGCAGCTGGCTGGAATAGCAGTATTTGCATGTTGGTGGTGAGCGCAGCGTGGTGTATGGGCGGCTGCCATTTACTGGGTCGGTCCTTGAATCCGTTTAAAATGAGAGTAGGGACAAAAAAAAATAAATAAAACGGAAGTCATTACATCACTCTCTTGGGAGTGGCGGTAAAAACCCATCTGTCACAAAGGTCGTCTGACGAGGCTTCTGATCAGACGGTACCCTTCTTTCCTCTAATGAGGCCCCATTATTCATATGCGGCCCTATTACAAGCCTGTCCTGTCCTTGAAAGGAGTCTGTACATTACACCGTCACTTTTTTTTCTCTCCCTTGAAATAAAAGCTGTTAACTGTACGCTGATTACAAAGTGTCATAATATGTAATGTTATTACACGGAGTTGCATCTGTCAGGCTCCTTGGCGTGGCTTTTACTCCATTTATTTTGCAAGCAGCTTAAAACACTTCATCTGAGGGGAATAACTGCATTTGACGTGGTTGTAGTCGGCTTAATGAGCTTTCTGCCTTATAGTGATTGATTTAATTATGCTGACATTTACCTCTCCGCTCAGTCACAAAGGCGCTGAGAGCGGACATATTTACATTGTTTGACCCGTTGAACTCATAACAGGATCCTTATTTCCTCAATCGATTGCTGGGGATTAGGCGTGTGTCCAGCGCGTTTTGTCAGCATCTGCCTAACGCCTTACAAGATAAAGCTGGCATTGATCGCCGTTCCATGTCGTGGCATTTAAACGCGTGACCCGGATTGTCCGAGCGGAGACCCCCGCCGCCCATCATCCGGCGACACTCGCACAAGCCTACAGTCCTAGGATCATCGATTTCCCATTACTGTGTCACTGCGGTGGCCTCTTTAAACACACCTTCTGATGTAGAGCCTTGCAGCCTATGGCATCCAAAATGCATAGCGTGACATTATCTACAAGGGGAGAGAAAAAGAGGCGCTGCAGCACCATCTACTGGTTAGGCAAAGGAACTGCACATTTGTTAACCCCCTCAGTTCTGAGAAAAATGCTTCCCAGGAACAGCCATGCCAACACAAAGTTGTGCATAAATACAAAAGAGAAAGAAAAATGACGTTTTTCATAATAATAACAATTAAAAAAAACTAAAAAGTGTGACATGCATTTGTATTTAGCTCCCTGAAAAATATTTTGCACAACTTTATGTGCAACTGCAAGTTTTCTTGGGTATGTCTCCACCCAAGAGACTACACTAGGGGTCGACTACCTTTTCCTATTTAAAGAGCCATTTTTGCTCCCGCTGCTATAAAATAAAACTTGTTTTTAGCTGCAAACAATGAGTTTAAAAAGATGCACTTTGTAAAAGGTTTTATTATGCAAGGCAAAGAAAATTTAACTAAAATCTACTTCTAGTAATTTTATTATTATTTTCTTTTTTAACAAGTACATGTTCAATGCTTACCAGGTCCTCTCTTGTCCCAGCCGCACACCATGGTGCCCATGCTGAGTCCCATGCCTTTGTACTGGTACACCATGTTGGCCAGCAGCTTCGAGGCGGCCGCCACAGAGATGCGCTCTTTGTTGCGCAGCTCGTAAATGCGGCACTGACGAGCGAGCAGGCGCTCCCAGAAGCTGCAGTCTGCGGCGCCTCCGGCCATGGTCCCCAGAAGGTAAGGGTTGATCTCAATCACCTTCTTTACCGTCTGCGAGGCGATGTAGGAGCCCGCCGTGGCCCGAGAGTCCACCGCCACGATCACTCCATGCTGGAACTGGATGATACAAGGGGAAAAGACCCGTGTTACGCTCCATTCAGAAATTAATCAAGTGTTACAATACAGGAATCAACAAAATACAAATGTAGGTATGGCAACACTGTTTAAACAATTATGGTGAAAACAGCACACATGTAAAACGTGGTTCTTTGTTTCTGTAAATTTTAGCTACTAATCTTGAATCTATATGTTTACTGTTAAAAAAAGCAGCATTTTCAAAACTACATCATTGCTAAGCTCTATTTTTTCAAAGAAACAGGGAAAAAATAAAATATGTTGACGCTATTCATCTACTTTTATAATACAGCTGTCAGAAAAAAAATGGAAACTGCCATTTTAATTTTTTTAAGGAGAGAAAATAATGGAAAATAATTCATCTTCTGCTTTGGCATAAGATGGGTTATTTCTATGTTTTTGTCTACATAAGTCAAAAACATTATAGGAGTTTGAAGCAAACTTTACAATAACAGAACTCAATTCATTTCAGAATGGTGCCATGAATTTGTAATTATGTGAAAGAAATGATTCATAATCTACAAGACTGTTATATAATACTATTTAATTTTTATTTATATTTAGTCACCCATTTTAGCTTTTATTTATCATTTGATTTGTAGCAGAATGATGACAGGTCCTCTTGGCATTTTTTTTAAAGAAGAAACGTAATGTCAGATAGCTGCCATAAGAAAATAACAACACGGGTTACACATCTGAGGCATTCACTGTCTGCCACTGTATTGCCAACGACAATAACACAGGGTCCAGGACCCAACTATTGAAGCTCTAGTTTATTTGAAGATGTGATGTTATTAAAGATTACAATATGGGAATAAAATGATATCCAGATTAATGTTTACTTGTAGAGGTAAAGAGGTTGATGAAGCTACGCATGGGCTTTACGGTCTTCTGTTTTGACATTATTCAGCAGTAAACCAGTCAGTTTCTCTGCCATGAGAAAGCAGTTTTTAGCCGAGCTAGCGGCACCAAGCTAACGTTTGAGTCATTGTCTGGTATGAATCACTGCGTACGATTTAAACAAAACCTAAATGTTCTTTGGAGAACATATCCAATTAGTGTGACTCTGATGAAAACGTCTAGCAAGAACCAACGATAACCACACTTACTTTGAACGCTAATGTGGTTGTTCCGTGCAGAAACTCTATTTTCCTCTCAACGCCATCTTCCTCCCCAGCGAGCAGCGAGTTCTTAACGCAAAAACTGAGACTGTCCCCCGGTCCAGCTTCAGATTCTCCTTCGATCTGTCCGGAACTGCAGCCAAAAGCGAATGGCTGCCGATAATCAGACGAAAAATCCGGACAATCACTACTTAACACACTAGCAAGAGCCATCTTTGAAAGAGTGCGATGAGCAAGCAACTTCCGGCGAGAGCAGGAAGACTTGTTCTTCATGGTTGCAAAAGTTACACAGCGCCTCCGTGTGGGGGATGACTGAAACAGTCAAAAATATGCCATGGCCTAACAAAGCGAGGCTTTTGACTCTTATTTTACGTAGACTAACTTCCAAATAATTTAATGGGTTGTTGAAGGACGTACTTAACAAGCACTAACCTGACCAGAACTTGAGGGAAGATTTCCAAAACGGTTTAAACTTTTGGTTATTATTTTTGAACATTCCCTGAACTTTACCCGGAGGAACATCCTGAGAAGGTTATATAGTTTAATGTGCTTCAGAGAACATGAAAAGCATGTTACAAGGAGGTTCTCTCCATTAATAGTGTGACATTTAGGAACTGAAATGTTCTCTGAAAGTTCAAAGAAGTTTATATTCAATTAACAATATTATCCAGAAGGTTAAGTACTTTAGTTATATAACTTTTGTGTATAGCCGGACATGCAACAAGGGTTAAATAATACTTTAGATATGTACCCTTTAAAGAATCTTCAGGGAAATTTACATAAAGAGTCTTTGAGCAATACATGCAGCTTTCAGAATGTTCCTACAATGTTAGTGTTCAGAGGACAATCCCCAATAGATAAATAAAAGTTGTTTTGAAATATTTAGGTAATGCTCTATAGAGGTTCATTGAAGGTTATCTACAACTTTGTTTATGTTACCTCTGGAAAACCCTTACAATAGGTTTCATAGAGATTCCTTGAATTTTAGCTACCTTTTTCCTGATGTAACATTTAGGGATTTAACTTTAGGAAATATCCCTAAAGGTCTATAAGTTTCATGAAATACCTTTCAAACTAGAAGAGGTTTACCACAACTTATAACTACTTTTTTGATCAGCCTAGGTGTATAATTTTTATCTCCAAAGCCCAACACAGATCCTTTGTTTGCTCTAACTGCTTTCTATTGCATCTCTCTTTTTCTTTTCTCTTCTGGGCTTGGACCTTCTCTCCAACTCTCTATAATATTCTTCTTTCAGGTCCTCCCTTGGTCTTTGGATCCAACCCTGGGCGTCGATGTGAAAAAGATCCACATTGTTTCCAGAGTAGGCATCCCTATGAGTGGCTCTGAAAACTGCTTCTCTTGCCAAGGAGATAGCTTCTTCTTTACTCAAACCCCAACTCAGACCCCCATCCAGGACTCCGTAAGCATAAGGAGACCCTGATCCAACAGAGATGATATCTCCTTGCAGTCGGGCACCATCGCTGCACACGTAGATAACCTGTGGGCCACTGTTTGGGGATAGCGGATCTGCTGCTGAAGTGTTGCCGGCAATGCCTGAAGAGCTTACATCAGTCACAAGAGATTGGTTACCAAAGTTGTTATCCAGCCCAGTGCTCCTTCCTTCCTTTTCCCAACCGCACAGAGTGAGTGCCACACACACCTCAGTGCCTTTAAATGGATGCAACATAAAGGAAAGAAGCTTGGCAGAAGCTCTTATGGAGAGTCGACGCTTATGCCGCAGTTCATACAATCTGATCTCTCTGATCAGGATGCGCTCCCAAAGCATGCAGTCTGCACCGCTGCCCGAGGAGGTGACCACTAAATGGGAGTGAATAGGGGTGATCTTGTGTACAGCCGGACATGCGACAAGGCCACCCGCGCTGGCACGTGTGTCTGCTGCTGCAATTACACCACCTTGGAAAATGAAACCCAAGGTTGTTGTTCCATGAGACAGAGGGAAAGGCCTTTGCACAGTCAGCGCATGGTTTGGTGCTCTGAAACGAGACGTGCGTCTGCTGATGACTGGGGTGGCTTGAGGGAAAGGTGGCACGAAAATGTGCTGTGGATCCCCCCAGTTTGTCTGTGATGTCTTCAGTCTTTCCAGCTCAAGGTTGTGATAATCTGTCTCCAAAGCTGGAAAAGGAAACAATTGCTGTGCAGGCTTGTCTTTGAAGCAACAAATATCTTCCAGAGCCATATTAGTGTTGAAAAAAGCTGTAAATAGATCAGATTGCGTTAACAAAGACGATGGGCAGTCCACAAGAAAACCAAGCAATAATCAGACAAAGCCATATGTTTTCCAACCAAAGCTAGGGTTCTGATGAAGAATCATTCCAGCAAAGTCCACTTTTTTAACTGCTCCTAAGAGTACCGTTTATCCTTTTATAGCCCTAACAAATGCTACAGCTTGCACTGCATACATGTACAAACATATCTGTAAGCAATCTTTCACTCTTCCAGCTGTGAATTTGATATGCAGTGAAGCCTCTTTCTGCAACGCTTTCATTCTGAGAAGAGAGCGTGAATATGTAGATGTGTGTGTGGGGTGAGTGGGTTAACTAGTTGTGCAACTTTTATTTTGCTTTCAAAATAAAAAGCAAAATAACCAGAACCACCAGTATATCAACTTTGATTTTTTTTCAGCTTTTGGTTTAGCTTTGTTTCACCATAGCACACAACTCCAGCTACATTAATTCGATGTATAACATTTGTTAATCCTGAAGCGAAATTAGATGATACAGTAACTTGATTTAGTGAAGTTTAAGAACCAATATTGGGAGTTATGGCTGTGGCCAGAAAAATCACTGAAGACTCTAAATGGGACTTTGTGCTATTTTGATATACTTTTCGTATATTAAGACTATTTTAAAATTATATGTATAGAGCTTTTTAATTATATATTAGGAAATTGTTAAATAGTTACATTAGAGTTTTCGCTTTTCCCTTGACATTTATCAAAAAAACTTCCTGACACTGGATAATTATCGCGGTAATTTACGGGATATGCAACCGGCGTCCTTGTGAAGCCATTTTGGCTCTGAATGTCTCTTCAGGCGGTACCTTTCCACGTCCTTCAGGATCCAAAATGGCGCCGGTTTCCCCGAACGACGGAGCAAGATGGTCCCCCCCCACACTTGTTCAGTCGGACAGAAGCCATGGCGTCCGCCAGCACGGGGAGCAGAGTGTCCTGTGGGAGAGACTTGAATTGCGTGCCAGAGATAGCTGACACGTTAGCTGCGGTCGCCAAACTCGGGTGAGGAGAGTGTTTGAGTCTGCGTGTCAGTTTTCAGCCGTAATAACACATCTCGCGCGTGTTGTTTTTTTGTCAAAGCGGGATGTTGGCTAAGCTAGCCGGCGAGTTCTCAGCACGTGCCCTCGTCACAACGATGCTCGCTGATCCTCTGAAGTGTTCACAACGGGGTCGTGGGGCTGTTGTGTTTCATATTTCCTCGCCTTTTTAAAACGTGTTCTCGGACGCGCCTTTCGCTTTTCTCCGGGCTTCTGTTTTAAGTATGTCGGCGTTGTTTGAGGTTCATTTTCCTCCACAGGTTTGACTTTCTGTGCATGCCCCTGTTCCATCCGAGGTTCAAGAGAGAGTCTGAGTTGGAGCCCGCTAAGTCCAGACCCGGAGCCCAGACCCGTTCAGACCTGCTGCTTTGTGGAAGAGGTTAGTCTTTATGCCACAGCAAAGCTAGCAGATGCACTTTCTTCATTTGCAATTAGAAAAATAATTTACTCTTTGAAATTCCTCAGATAAAGTGTAACCCTGTCCAATAAAATGGAAATCCAATGCTGATTAGGAAATGGAGTTGAGTTTCAAGGCTTTTTCAAAGAACTTTAAAGTATGCATTTCATGTTGACTAACACTTTTAATGCTATTAATATTAGATCATGTAAAACATCTTAACATTAGCCATGGACATGAAAATGTTTTCTATACAGACGTCACGTCCAGCAAAACTAAATGCATCAAAGTATCTAATTGTATGACCTAGTTATGTTTAAGCTTAAGTTAAACAGAAATTCTAGCAACTATTTTCTGTTTAGCTTTTGGACAAAAGTCCCCTGTTTTTCCTAAAACCTACCCAATAATTGATATTTCCAAAACTATTTAAGAAGTCATATGCTTTTTTTTTTAAAAAAAAATCATTCAACATGTTTCTTGTTTTCCAACATGTATGTACTCCACTTTAGTTGATACGTCTTAAATTTGCTCATAATTTTGACTTGACTATTGTAAACAGCTGTGTAATCAGATTGAACTTACATGACTTTTAGTTTCATCTTAAATGACTTTTGTCGTCCAGGCTTTGGTATAAAAAGAGAGGAAACTGATGATGCAATTAATTGATTTGTTGTTTATTGCGACAGGCCTAAGCATTGTGTTTTGTATTTTTACTTGTGTACGTAAAGGTTGAAAATGACCAAATAAATAAATAAGGCTATCTAGAATGATGGAGCCTCTGATAACTTAATATTTAACACAAAAATTAATTCAGATAAAACTGGAGTGATCTGGCTCAGAACTTTCCACCAGAAAACTGCTTTACAAATGTCGATATTGAACTGATTGATGGTAAATGCAAATGGGACATGTTTTGTTTTTTTAAACAATAAGTTGGCTATTTTCTGTCTTTTTGTAGACTGGAATACTCTGATTGTTGGGAAGCTCTCCCAATGGGTCGACGCAGATTCAGAAATAGAGACGGAACGGAGGAACTCGGAAGCTGTACGTTCCTCAGTCTGAACATTTCTCACTTCCTTTGCCGCTGTGAGGCTGGCAGTTCCTTTGTCTCATCAGAGCTCCTCTCTGTTTGCATCTGTCGTCACTTTCTCCTAAAATCTTTTTGTTTTTCTGCGTTTCCCTCCAGGCTCTCGCACAGGAATTGAACTTCTCAGCCTACCTGGGTCTGCCTGTCTTCATGATCCCTTTGAAGGGCCCCAACAATGCCAATCTAGCCCGAATGCTGCTAAACCACATCCACACTGGACACCACACCTCAAACGTAAGACACAGCATCAGGGAAACCAGCGGACACCTGGAATTGGATTTGACGCGTCCGTGCTGCAGTCCTCGTTTAACCCCAGCTTCTCTCTCTGTTCGTTAGTTCTGGATCCGTGTTCCGTTGATGGCCCCAGAAGACATGCGGGACGACCTGATCGAGAACGAACCGACCGCTTGCTTAGACGAGACGAGCGCAGATGAAAAAACCTGGAGCTGGTTAGTTTTACACCGCTTCCTCATCAGCAGGAGAGCTGAATCAAATAAAAACTTAGTTTCTTTATCAATCTTTGTCTTTTCAGGTGGCACTCATTCAGAACCCTCTGTGATTACAACAAGAGGATCTGTCTCGGTGAGCGAACTCACCACCAGCCAGCAAATTAAAGCGTTACAAGTCTTTTTTTTTTTTTCCCCCTACTGAGAATGTGTTCGTTTTCTATTCCTGTCAGCGATTGAAGTGGGAGCAGACATGCCGTCAGACGCTGTGATCGATAAGTGGCTTGGAGAGCCGATCAAAGCAGCCGTGCTTCCCACTAGCATCTTCCTAACAAATAAGAAAGGCTTTCCTGTTTTGTCTAAGGCCCATCAGAGGATAATCTTCCGGCTTTTTAAGGTCCGACATCAAAGCTCCTGGTGGTTTGGTTGATTATCCAAATTTCAAAGTTTCCTTTTTGACAAAGACACACTTGTCTTTCCAGTTGGAGGCTCAATTTATCTTCACAGGCGCCAGTCGGCACACTGAGAAGGACTTCAGGTCCTACCTGCAGTACCTGGAATACCTCAACCAGAACAGGCCTGCGCCTAACGCCTATGAGCTGTTTGCCAAAGGCTACGAAGACTACCTGCAGTCACCTCTACAGGTCGACACCTCCGCTCTGCGCTCACAATTTTTTTTTCTTTAATCAGCTTTTTAATTCATAGCTGAATTGATTTCTTGCTTCATTTAGCCCCTCATGGACAACCTGGAGTCTCAGACATATGAAGTATTTGAGAAGGATCCCATTAAATATTCTCAGTACCAACAGGTGAGCCAATGGACATTTTTTGTTTTGTATTTTTAAGGAGGGGGTGGACATTCATTGTAATTTATTAATTTATTGTGAAAAAGTTCTTGTCATGACAAGAATTTTGATTTATTTTCTCAATAAATTGCAGTTGTCGATGGTAATTGGGGAAACAAATGAACAGTGATTGGAAATATTATTTAAAAAATTTTCTCCACTCTTTGTTCCACGAGAGCGCCAATAAATATCAGTAAATTATTTATTGAAGGCAGTTACAGAGTGCATTTAGTGATATGAGTAATAAGTGTATTGTAAATGAAAGTCTTTTTCAAGAGTAATGTTTGCAACCCATGCAATCACCGTCACAGGTTGGCCGCACATCCTTAAAAAGTCTTACATTCGTGTATCTAAAGTTAAGGCCTTAAAACACCTTAAACCCATTTTTAAATAAGTAAGTTGGCCTTAAATACGTTGATCACAGGTCTTGAATCTTGTCTTGACAGGACTGCAAAATCATTTATTCCATGTAATTTTGTTTTCTTGTGAAACTTTTTAAATGTGCATGGTGAGAAAGGGAAAACGTTTATTGACATTAAATTGAAACTAAATAGTCCTTGTATCCAAAATGTTTTTCTGTGCAGAATGCATATTTGTCTAATAGTCTTAGTTTCTTTCAGGCTGTATATAAATGTCTTTTGGACAGAGTACCAGAAGAGCAGAAAGACACTAATATTCAGTAAGTAAGATGTTCTTATATTTGTATGAAATTACAATTAGGACTCTTAATCTAGCGGGGTAATGATTTGTAGCTCAGTCAATGCTCTCCTCCTCCCTTCATTACCTTCATCCTGTTATACTGTTGGTTAAAAAAAGAAACGCAGGGAGGCATTATGTTTGAAATTCTCTGGAGTTTAATGGATTTTATGAGATGGAACGAGAGAAAATAACCATATACACATTCATACAATAAATATCAGTCAGAATCTGTATCTTTCAATAGCAATAAGGTACACTTAGCTGAATTACTCAGGCTGATTGTAAACATCACTGGTGTTTAAAAAAAGTCTGTCAGCATTGTTATGTATGAAGCACCAGAAGTGTCTGATCAATTTGTTTTGTTGGTTTAGGGTGTTGATGGTGTTGGGTGCAGGAAGGGGTCCTCTGGTCAACGCATCCCTGCGTGCTGCCAGA